TTTTTTTTTCAAATTGAATGATCCTCCCTTCACTCTGCTTGTCCTCTTTTGCTCCCATTTCTGTCTCAGCTTTACCCCTTACTTTAGTGGTCTTATGGAGAGGGCTTGTGAGGACACTGCAGCTGTTTTGATGCAGCCCAACCAGTAGTTGTCAGGACATGTCACTGAAAACCAAAAATTCTAACCTGCTGGTGGGGCTAGAGGAAACACCAGGGTGTCATTTAAGGCTACATTGTCTTTTTACCCCTTTTCCCACCAAAATTAGCACTTTTTTTTTTTAAATGTGGGAAAACCAGCTAAAAATTGGCAATAGACTGCTTTCCCCATTGCCATTAGACCAGAGGGGTGTATTGCTTTATCTTTTATTTACTTATGTCGCATTCAATGTCCAAAACGAGCCAGAAAACAGGGTTAGAAACAGTAGAAAGCAGCACGGGGGCTGGTAAAGATGTTACAGCGGTTACTTAAGTCTCTTTGAGACTCGCTACTGACTAATTTTAAACAATGTAAAGTGCTGCTTGGTTGGAGCCATTTGGTATGTTGTTGAGGCCCGTTATTGCATCGCATCGGAAAAAGGTCGAGAATTAGTACATTCATGAGGGTGTCATATTTCCATTGACATTGATTGGAGCCAGTCAGTGCTGGAGCTGCTAAATACCTATGCCTACTGCAAAGTCATTTATCTGGGAATGAATGCCAAATGTAACTTTCCTCATCAAACACAAAAGCCAGATGTTTGTGGGTGTTTGTGTTTCTTCATCCAGTAAAAAAAAAAGCGGCTTATGGTTCATCCTCTGGGGACCATGAATGTCTGTACCACATTTCATGGCAACCCATCTGATAGTTGTTAGTCTAGAACAAAGTTGGGGAGTGACAGACAAAAACAAAAACTCAAAACCACCCCTCATACACTCCACAGACACAAACTCCAAACACACACAGTCACTAAGTTTTAGTGTGGACACAGTTGTGACTTCTAGAAAGCAGGGCCACGGAACCCTCACCAGGGGTAGATCTATTCCTGTTACAGTTAGAGAACCTCCTGCGTGAGAGAGCTGACTGGACAGGAGTCAGAAATGTACTGGGGAGCCAAAGCATTCAGAAGAAATATGAGGTTGATTCTGAGGAGAAACAAAAAACAAAAAGCCTGCTCATCTACATTTACTCTTTCTTCAGAGTGCAATATGTGTTATTGCCTATTTTCATATTTATTCAGATGAGCAGCTTGCACATCATGTCGCATTAACCAATGGAAGCTGGACACCTGTTGGAATGAGAGAGCAGGAGATAAGGGAAAAACACAAAGGAGGAGAGAGGGAATGTTTTTATCTTGGACGGAGAGACCTAAAGAGAGATTGTGTTTGTAAAACGAGAGACAGAGTGGTGAATGGAGGGAGAAGGCTGTCTATTGACACCACAGGTGCCTGCACTTCAAATGCAGCCTTCAACACAACATGGTCTGGCTCGAAGGAAGTGCATTTGTGTGTATTAGTGTGCATGCATTTTATTATGCACCATAGAAACATAATATCCCCGCTTATGCCGTGCTGCTGAAAGGATGCATATGCATGTGCCCATTTTCTATTTGTTTGTTGTCATTTGAGAGGTCATGTGTGCGTGCATGTGTCTGTGTGTGGTGATTCAAGATCAGATTAATCAAGTCCACCTGGACTCAGTTACGGCCCAGACTCAAACACACACAGCTCAGATATACAAAGACACACACACACAACTACATCAATGTCAATCTGTCTAGCTGCTGAATTGTTTAACAGTCTATCTCCCATTGGATGTGTGCACCTCTTCGTGGTCATGTAACACTGGCACCAGCACTTTCTAGAGACAAATATGGACTCTGTGTTCATGACAGATTATTTCTGATTGATTCTCGTGCGTTTTCATTGGATTTCCTCTTCTTCACTTTGGTTTTGGTCGAGGAAAAACACACCGTCTGCAGTCAGCAGGCTGCAGCATAGCAGACATTCCTGCAGGGTGTAGTTAGGGAGTTGGAGAATGGCAACGGTTTCCAAAAAAGCTGTTGCTCCGTAGGGTTTTTTTTATGAGAAGTCCAAGTTGTAATGTTGCTTGGCAGCAGGATTTGGATGGGATTGTTACTATGCAGCCTCCTTCACACTCGCACTTCTTAAAACATGATACACTGCCACTGATGAGGAGCAGGCAGAGGAAAGTTACCTGATGACTTTCGGTGGCTTAAATTACCTTACTGCCAAATCCTCTGAATTATCTCCTGTCTCTGTGATGCAGATTTAATATCGTCATTTATAAAATATACCCTTAATCTCACAATCTGACAAAGTTAAAGTTACCTCTAAACTCATTACTGTGTATTTCCAATAACCATGATAACTGCTACCATATTTTTAATAACATTACTGGATGCATAAGTAATCTGTCACTGTCAGCACCGGGGAAAATCATTTAATGCAATTAAAATCAAAGGTACTTTGAAGAATTAAACAGTCCCTTTGCTTCCTGCAGACTACAGTAAGTAGGAGACTACTATATATATTTCTCCAGGCATGTATGTGTGCCTGTGATATTAAATAGAGATGGACCTTACACCATTTTTATCCAACCTTTTTGGTTTGTAGCCCCTCAAAGAAGCAGTTGGACATTTTGAGAAAGATTGATGGGTGGATTTTGTTACCTCGTGCTGCCAGCTCTCAGCAACAAAGTGAATTAGCAGTGCTGCTGCTTCATATTTCGACTCTACTCCATTTACATGAGTAATATTTAAATTTATTCGGCATCTTAAGTTACTGATTATTTCGCATGCAAAACATATGAGGAGCTGCTGCAGTGTTTTACTGTACTTTTAAACTAACCTCTATTTCAATCCAGCTGTCTCCCCCTGCTTCCAGTGTCTAACGCAACCAGCTGTTGACTGTAGCTTCACATTTAGCAAACAGACATGAGAGTGGCACTGATCTTATCATGTAGTTCTCATCAAGAAAACGCTGGTGCATAGTTCCCTAAATGTTGAGCAATTCATTTAAAACAAAGCAATGTCTTCCTGTGCCCAGTCATCAACGGAAATTAAAGAAACCAAAGAGTTGCTCATGGACTCTTTTAACTGAGGGGTGTTAAGACGCCTGAAGAGGGGAAGGTGTCTAACTGAAAAAAAAAAAGATAAACAACAAAAAAGGAAACATTTTCCCATTCTTAAGCCTTTTATTACCTTGTACCTTTACCTACCTTAAAATAAATGTAGATTTATACTTTTATTTAGCACTGTGCTACAGATCATGCAAGGCTTGTGTTTATTCCAAATACACTTCAGTTTCATATCTGTGCTGCTGATGGCTGCAGCACTTGAAGCTCATCAAAAGGACACTCCACAGATTTTACACATCAAGATCAATGTAGTCGAAATGGGAAGTAATAGATTTTTTGTTGTATAATTTCCTCATTGGCTCCAGAAAAGCTGTTAGAAAAAATGACCCTTGTAATGTCCATGGATTGATTATTGAATGGGCCTACGGGGCACAGGCCCAGGGGCCCAAAATGCAGGCTGCCTCCTGCAAAATGTCACTCTAATTAACCTGTATTGACCAAAAGGACACTTAAAATGACCACAAAGAGACACAAACAGACCAAAGAGAGATGCAAAAGAATCACAAAGAGACAAAGAATAACTAAAAAACAAGCAAAACAACCACAAAGTGACATAAAATGACCACAAGAGACACAAAGTTATCTCGAAGAGACTTAAATGACTACAAAAAAGACACAAAAACACATCCACCTGTGTGTTTTGCTGAGTAGGACAGGAGGTGGGGCCCTTTACTGGGCATCTGTGTCCAGGGGCCCACTGTCTTATAATAGTGATGTCACAAGGGTTATCTCGACCTGGGCTTGGAAACAACACTTTTTTTAATTAAATGTCTGTATTACTACATGGAGAAAGACAAGGGCTTTTTTTTATCAAAGGGGTGTTTAATGAAAAATACTTTGCAGTTGCATTGTGGGAAGTGTAGGATCGAGCTCAGGAACAAAAGTCAGGATATCTCAGCCTCTGCTGCTTTGATTTTGACAATTCTGTTTTAAATCTGCCTCTCACAAGAGACACAACTTTATGAAAGTACAATACTGAATCATTGGGGTGCACCTTTAACTTCCAGCAGACTGCAGGTGGAGAGATTTGGCGATGAAGTCAAAGTTGTGTAAACTTTAACAAATAGGGACAAATCAATATAATTTCAGAAAAAAACACACACGATCATGTTCTGAATAAACACAATGACATTTAGGAGGCATGCAGACAGACTGTCAGACAGGGGAACTGAATTAAAACACACCCCTTTTACACAAACTCCGAACCCCCCTCCTCCTCCTGTCTCATTTCTCATTCACTCAGCGCTATCTGACGCTGCCATTCTCTCTCTCACTCTCTCCTCGGAATCTTGTCTTTTTTTTCCACAGAAAACATGCAGGGAGGAGAGGAGGAGGAGAAAAGAAGAAACGCGTTGGAGGCGACAAGAGAGAGAGGAAGCAGCAGAGAAAGTTGGTAGAGAGGAGCGAGAGGAGAGGAGAGGGGTCGACCAGATGGGAGGAAGGAAGGAAAGGATCTCTCCGCGGGCTCACGTGCGCGATTAAAGGATCCTGCATAAATAAACAAATATATGAATCAAAGCCTATAATAAAAAAAAGTGGAGTTCCAGGCGCGCCGCCGTGTTGCGTGGACGCGGACGAGAAGACAGCGGCGGTGCGCGCCGCCTGCAACACTCCTGTCTTTCTCCCTCTCTGGATTTTACTCCTCATGTTCTTCAAACTCTCGGTGAGGTTCACTAACTTTTGAGGTCGGCGTCTGAAAAACTTTCCCCTCCCCTCGTCCTTTCAATTCACGCGCTCCCCGGAAAAGAAAAAGAAGCTCCGGGGTGGAAGCGGAGGAAGGAAGAGCAGTTTTTGTTCCTTCCGAGGAGTCCAGCTCGCCTTAGCCGGGGTTTAGGCGTTGGCACCCGGGCAGGGAGTCCCTCGCCATGGCCGGGGCCAAGCCGGGAGTCCACGCGCTGCAGCTCAAACCCGTGTCCGTCCATGAAGCGCTGAAGAAGGGGGGCAAATTCATCAAATGGGACGAGGTGAGAATGTTTTATGTTTCCCTCCCACAGACAGCACTCAATACATGCCGCAAAGTGAAACGAATCATTGTTTCATGATCAAGACAGTCCTTCTGATGAGAGCCAGCATGAGACATGACAGCTTTTGACAGAGGGCCCACTGTTGTGAAGTGACACACGAGACTGGTGTGTGTGTTGGAAAGATACAGACACAGATAACGTGTGTTTGTGGTGTGCAGGTGTGTGTGCACAGCCTCACACAGAAGACCACTATATTTGTGAGCGTGTGTTAATCAGATACTCTAGTAGAAAACTCCCCAGTAGTTGCCAGCAGGCGCTTGAATGTGTGTGTTGTGTTGAATTCTTGTCAAGCCGGTTTTGCTCGGGCTCAGGTTCAGCTCAGACGCCCTCTTTTCTCCTTTTCCTCTTATTTCCTTCTCTACTTTCCCCCTTTTTTCCCAGCGGATTAGAGGAGAGAGCACCTGTCCGAGTGGGAGTCTGAAATTTTTTTTGAGTGCACCTCACACTCTGAAACATCCCCTTTTGAGTTCTGTTAAAACTGTATCAGAATGTTTACTGTGTGTTTTGTTTCTTTGACTCCAACATAAAGATTTAAACTACTGTTTCTGTCCTATTTTTCCCTCCGCGCAGCTTGTCTGGCAACCCTGACATGCGCCTGCCCGTGCCATTGACCCTAATAATTGTGTGTGTGTGTGTGTTCCTGTGTGTGTGTGTGTGTGTGTGTGTGCTGGGGTTATCTCAGACAGAGTGCATGGCCATTCTGCAATCCTCTCCCTAGAGAATGTAGGTGTGTGTGTGATCAATGATTAACTGAGTTGCTGACTGATCTGACTCTAACCGCAGGCCTGTGTCTTCCAACTGTTGCATGCAAGTGTGTGGCTCATTGAAACTTTATATAGAAAGGTCCAGAGTTCCAATACGGCTGTTATCATACTTTGTAGATGTGAGGTCAGGTGTGGTGTAACATGCGCACACACACAGACATAAAGAAAAATGGACAACCCCTATTATAAAACCATATATCAGCAACAGAGCTTCACACACATTGTAATGATGACACAATGTGAGCGTGTGTGCATGTGTGTGCCTGGCCTCAGAAGAAGGGTCTTGTCACGCAAACAGTGCATACCATGTCCTTTTGATTTCCTTTCTTTCTCTCCTTCTCTCACACACACTAACTCCCTCTGTCTCTCTCTCAAAGGGAATTCCCAGGAAATGGCCATGGTGGTGATTAAGTGTGTGAACACTCGAAAACATATGCATGCCTTCTCCTTGTATATCTTTCGTCCCCTCTATTTGCTGTTGCCTGCTAAAATCAACATGTGAATTACGGAGGAGAAATGGAGAGAGAGAGAGAGAGAGAGAGAGAGAGAGAGAGAGAGAGAGCGCGCACATCTGGGAGAGGAGGGATGTGGAGGAGATGAGAGAGAGGGAGAGAGGAAAAATGCCAGTTTTCTAAAATGCGGAATTAAATAAATAATCACAGGAATGCTTTTGTGTTTGGGGACGAGATGTCAAAGATGCTCCATTGTTAGACATCAATATAATAAATGAGACCGTGGTTGACATAGTGCTTATATTCAGTAAATCAAGCCTTGGATCAGCCTGACAATTCAGGATTCTAAAGATTGTGATGTGTGAAGCCAAGCAAATTCAAAACCCCTTAAAATCTGGAAGAGAAACGCTGGCCAACAATGTAAATGTTGCACGAATGATTTTTCTACTTGGCCTGAATTTACAAGCAGAAACTGTATAGCCGTCTTTTTGTCCCATAAGGCCATTTCACAGATTTCCTGCCAAATCCATAATGCAAATGTCACATTAAGGCGAGTTAATCAGTCGTCTAATTCCTTTTCTCTCAATAATGAGTTTTGACAAACACTGTTTAAGTCAGTAAATTGGTATTATGGTGTCATCTGGACTGCGGCATCTGGTCCGCACACTGAGCTGTGCTGAAACAATTAGTCAGTCATTTGATTGCAGATCCACAGAAAATTAGCTGTAAACAATTTTTAGAACGGTGAAATCATTTTTTTTATGAGGGCAAAATGCTAGACTTTCTCTGTTTCTAGCTCTGCAAATAGGAGGATATATTGCTTTCCTTTCTCCTCTTTGATTATCTTCGAGTGTTGGACTATGAGTTGGTTAAACAAGCAAAGCAAAGATGAAATCCTGACCTTTGGGGAAAACTGTTTGCATTGCATTTTTCATGATTTCCTGAAGTTCAGATGACTTCTAAAACTAATTGTGAGTTGCAGCTGTTACCCAGCTAATGCACAGCAGTAACCCTGCTGAGTGAGACAAGTTTCACATCTTCTAATTACCCTGTTTCTGTCATCACAAATGATGCCTGTGCTTGTCCACATCTTGTAGAAAAGTCATTAAAGAATCCATTTTTTCCCCCCATAAAACAATCAGGCAAATTTCTTGCCAAATCCATGATGTAAGTGGAGTGTAAAGACGAGACTTATTGCAAGTTAAGACTCTCAGTCTTCTTGATGATCACCTTATTTGCTCACTTTGTCATACTTGTATCTAGGGGTGTAAATCATAACTTTAATCACGATATGATTGGACAACAGTACAGTATTTGCTGATGTGACAAAGTCTGCCACAATATGACTTTGAGTCGATTCAGTTCAATTCAGGGGCCGGCGATCGATGTGAGACGATATCAGTTAATATCCTCATTGTCTTTTTCTTGTCTGCTTGGCAGTTTGCAGTGTTGGAATGTTTCAGAAAGAGGTGTGCTCGGACAGAAATGGTGACACAGGCATATCTTAAAGATGACGATATGTATCTGTGTTTTCACTTTGCATTGATGATATGAGATCCTTGATCATTGAATTGATGTATCGATCCCGATGGCTACAGCTAAATAAATAACACTGTTAAAAGTCAATCATGTGGGCTCCATCAGAACTCTGTAGCAGCATCTCAAACTTAAGAAAATAACAACTTGTTGCAGCTGCACAGCTGAGTGTTCATTTTATTTTTATTTTGCTGAAACTTTTTAACCAGGAAGTTCTCTTGAAATACACGTTCTCTTCTAGAAGAAGAAAGTGGCCAAATCGGCAGGGTAGAGTTAACACTGATTCACATAAAAAATACATTTACAACTTTCTCACATAGCAAAAGCATTTAGCATCCTTAGAAAGGGCCTGAAATGCAGAAAAGAGAGAGTTTTTCTATTTAACACAGTCGAATTACTCATGAAACTTTTTCTTAATATGGCATTTGAATGCCTGGTATGAAGGCGGCGTTTCGAAATCTTGTAAAAGATTCCAAAGTCAGGGTACATGCAGTTTTTTACAAGTTCAGGTTTAAGAGCAGACTCTGGGGGACACTGAAGGTTACCCATATCAAATTAAGCATGACTCAGTGTGGCTCTGTTGTGCAGGAAACAAAGGGCATGTACTGTGCTGCAGCAGTAACTGAACCACAGGAGTTGCTTAGAGTTTATTAAGGTTTATGGTCAAGATGTATTGATCACCTGAGCATACGATAAATCGAACTGTAATTGAGTAAAAGAGCTGCTTGTCATAAAGCACTGTCTTTTTTTTTTTTTTTTTAGTTTTCACATGAAGCTCAGGAATAATATTCTACCGGCGACCCATGGATTATTTTAGTGTCTGTCTGTGTTTTAACAAGGAAGTTGACCAATGGGCTTCTGTCCCAAAAACTTGGAGTAGTCCTTAAAGGCCTTCGCAAAGTGAGAAAAGAATTAGGACACACACACACAGACAGAAAGGGCCCAAGGCCAGTGCAGTTTGTTTACATGAAAACCCCTCTTATGACCCCATCCCTCTCTTTTCACCCCTCCTCTTCATCACCATGCCCTCGCTCCACATAACTTATTCCTTCATCTCTTCATACTTTTGTCTCTTTTTCCTTCTTCACTTTTCAACCCAAACACTCCTCTGTCACTGAGCTGCTGCTGCCGTCCACTGTATGTCCACTGCACATCAAATGATACACACAGACATACTGAGTCATGAACGGGGGGGAGGGAGGAGGAATGCATTCCAAGTTGTCCGTCTTTCCTCTGTGTTTCGGCTTGTGTGCACACGCGTGCTCGTGTGTGTGTGTGTGTGTGTGTGTGTGTGTGTGTGTGGTTGTTTTGTTCTGGGTGTGTGTTTGACGTTGAATGACTTCCTGTTCCAGCTTGTTGTAAGGCTCCAGAGCCAAACCATTTTCCCTCTCTTCCCCTTCCCTCCCTCCCCTACCGTCTGCAGCTGCTCCACCCTCTCGCAGCCTCGGCCACAATTCAATTTAAATGAATTCCAACTGGAATTCAGTTAAAATTCCTCCTAAACAACCAATTAAACAAACAGAGACAGACAGCTCGTCTACAGAGCATCTCGGCTCTCCGTCGCTGTGCTGTGGAGTGCAAAAAAAAAAAGTCAAACTCACAATCATCTTTACACCTAACATCAACATTTGCCCCTTTTGCAGAGTGTTCCCAGCTTTCATTCAGATGGATTATATTTGCACCTGGTATGCAAATACACTTCCACTGTTTCACTTCCCTGTACAACATGTGCCTTTGCATGCATATACTTTCAAAACAGGCACAACAAAGGCAGAATTTTTCTCAGGGTACAAACACTCCTACAGGTTTTCCTTGGTCAGAACCACATGGGACACGTGCACTTTTTTTTTTTTTGGTTTTAATTTGCTTATGTTCACATTGCACAATTACAAGCAAACCAAGGCTTATAAACAAAGTCACATGAGATCACCAGTTGCTCATTAATTGGACAGAGTTTTGGGAATGTGACAGTCTTGGCTGCAGGTCAAAATGCCTGTAACGTGAGCGTGTGAGCACGATGCACCGTAAAATGATGCATTTCGAGGTTGTTTCCTGCAATTTGGTAGGGACTGTTTTGTCAGACCTTACAGGCTGCACCACAGTTCGCTTAGAGGAGCTCAGAAATATGATCTTGGCAACTGTTGAGGACACAAAAGACACTTTAATGCCACTGTTGTCCTCAGTGTTT